GAAATACTTTAAAGAATCCACAACTGGGATCTCATCCTACTGAAGAGTTCTGCACATCTAAGGAAATCACCAGCAGAGTAAAAAGAAAATCTACTAGACTTGTTGGTATCATTGGCTTCATTGTCTCTTTCTGGATATCTTTTAGACTTTTTTGATGTGCTGGTTTGGTGGTCATGAATTTTTTATATGGTGCTTTTTGTCATGGAAAAACCTTATTTTTCTCCATCAATTTTGATAGCTTTTCAGGATATATTGGTCTGGTTTGGTAGTTGTTTTCTTTTTGGGATTGAAATACTTCATTCCATGCTTTCCTGGTCTTTAAGGTTTGTGATGAGAAGTGTGTTTTAATTTTAATAGGTTGACCTTTATAAGTGATTGGTTGTCTTTCTTTTTCTTTTTTTCTTTCTCTTTCTCTTTTTCTCTTCCTTCCTTCCTTCCTTCCTTCCTTCCTTCCTTCCTCCCTCCCTTCCTCCCTCCTTCCCTCCCTCCCTTCCTTCCTTCCTTCCTTCCTTCCTTCTTCCTTTCTTCCTTTCTTCTGTCTCTGTCTCTCTTTGTCTGTCTATCTGTCTTTTCTGAGACAGGATCTCCCTTTGTAGTTCAGGCTAGCCTTGAACTATATATCTCAAGCTGGCAATCTTCCTACTGCAGTTTCCCAAGTGTTGGGATACCAGCTAATTTGTTGTCTTCATAACAACTTTTAAGGTTCCATCCTTATGTTGGACTTTTGGAATTTTTGAGTATGATGTGTTGTAGAAAAGTTCTTTTCAGTTCATGGCTATATAGGTTTCTGTATTCCTTGAGTACCTGTCTGTTAAATTCTTTCCCCTTACTTAAAATGTTTCCTGCTGTGATTTCTGTTAGCAGGTTATTTTTAAAAATCCATTTGTATTATCTTCTGATTTTTCACTAATTCCAATTAATATCATTAGTCTTCTTTGTATCATCTAGCAGATATTGGATCTATTTTCCATGATCTTTTGTGTTTAAATTATCTGTGAATGATGGTCACCATCATCACCACAGTCTTCTAGGTCTGATACTCTCTCCTCACATAGGTTATTTCTGCTGCCCTTACTTTCCATAGCATTTTTTTATTTCCTGGATTTCTATCTGGTACCTTTTCATAGCCTTTCACCCCTTGCTAAACTGGTCATTCATGGTTGGTATTGTTTTGTTTAGCACACTGATCATTGTGTTGATTATATCCATCATCTGTTTAGTTCTATCTTCTTTGAGCCCACTGAGTTATTGATCAGGGTATTTTTTGTTTCTTTTCTTATCATTTTGTATAATTCAGCTGTTTGATTTTTGATGTTTCTCCTTATCAGTTCCCCCATCGATCAGGTTTCAGGGAGTTGGGCATTTTTTAAATTAAGTTTATTGGTAAACTTTAGATATACATAATAGTCACATTTATCATAGCGACTTTGTAACTGTACATGCTATATCTTGTTTTCTTTTTCCCCCTCCCTGTCTGACATTCAGTCCTTCTCCCTCTCCTTATTTACAAAAGCTTTGTTTCCATTTTTTTCCTTATATTCTTTTTTTTTGGTCCCTTCCTTTTCTCTCTCCCCCCTCCTTAGTTGCCTTTCCCATCTGAACATTT